CCTTTTGTTTCAGTCCTGTAATTTTTGTGGTGTGTGTAGCTATCAGGGGGGCAATTTTTCTTTCAGTCCTGCTCGCTTTGCAGCCTCCATATCAAGCAGACTTGAAGTCTGCAGAGAAGAACAGGAGAGTGTGGAAAGTATTTGACCAAACACTTAGACTCTTGCAAACCTTCACAGTTTAATTCCGCGAAAGAGGTGTGTTTTAAAGAAGATATTTTGTCCTATCTTCCCTTTCTCACATGCTCACATTTTCCCAGGCTGTAATGAGTGATTTTATGTTCTGTCACGTTAAGTTTATAGCAACTTTAAACATCTTATAATAACATCTTTTCTATGTGTTAATTATAAAAGCTGAAGCTTAACAAGTAAAATTAAGCTTGCAATGGTCCGAAATGCTGCACTTCAAAAAAATATTTGGAACTTAAGTGCTTTCTCCTCCCTGAAAATTAAAGTGACTTAGGCTTATGCTGTGCTGAGCAAGGTTTGCTTGCTTTAAATATGCATCGAGTAAACTGGTTCTTGGAAGTGCAAGCACATGGCAAAGGCTTTATGCAGAGCTGAATCACGAACACTCAGTGTGCAGTCTCTACAATGAGTGCATGCCAGGGGAGTGGCTGGGAGCTGCTCTGCCTCTCCATAGCACTTATGTGCACTATGTCAGCAATGCTTCAAGTTGCTCATGTTTGTGGGCTCTCTGCTACACACTGAGCTGGCAGTCTAAGCAGTGCCATCCTGAGGCCGGCAAGCATCCCGAGGGAGGTGGTAGTTGCAGGGAGGGGCTACTCTAAGATGGGAGGGTGAAGCAGTTTCTGAGGAAGTCTCCAAGGTCAGTAAATGAGCAAGTAGAGTAAGAAATCTTCTTGACACAGTTCAAGATGGTCAGTAGTGTCTAGTTGACTGTTCCTCAACTCACAGAGATTAGAAATGTGTCTTTTCCACTGCAGAGGGCTAAATTTTGCCTCAGTGAAGGCTTTGAGAATGGAGCAGTCCGTACTCGCGAAGTGACTTGTCTATGCCCAAGTTAGGTCTTACCAGTTTAATTACGGTTTGTACATTAATCTGATGTGTTTCCTTGGGCAAAATCTTCTCTAATTTCAGCACAAGGACTATTGCTTTCAAATAAAGAATTAAAATAACTTGTACAATGTCAACAAAGATGTTAGACCGGAAAAGCTGATGAGTCACTGTTGATGTTAATGAGGACTTCTGCTTAAAACTTGGATCTGTCTTTCCTTATATTTATATACAAAGCTTTTTCTGAAATCCAGGTTTCTTATATAGCTGAAAGAGCTTTCAAATGAGACATCAGTTTTTAGGCAAGTATCTAAATATGTTTAGTAATTTTGAGACAAACTGAACAAAAGAAATAACTTCTGTTTTGTCTATCTGGAGTAGGAAATAATGTAATATCACTTAGATCAGAGTAAATATTCATCTAAAGCTCATTATTTGTATAAATATGTGAAATAAAATTATAATTAAAAATATGGTGTTTTTCAGGTACAAAACCATCTATAGTACAATGTATAATATCCTCATATGTTTAGTAATTGTTGCCTACATACATGGAACATAACTAAATCCATACAGGTTTTAATAGTTCCCGTGGTGACTAGATAAGGTACAAGAATCCTCTGAGTAGAGAAAAAATGAATTCATATTTAGAAATCTTGATTCCTACATGCCACTTCCATTACTGATACAACTAAATGGGATGAATTTTTTCAAACTACACAAAAACATAGGATCCTTATTTGGTTAAGACTAATTAAAAACTTTAACACTCTCTTTTTTTCTTTTTGCATTTGTTATGCTTGTGCACTGATACAAACAGTAGCTCTAGCGCACAGTGCAACCCTTTTTATCCAAAACAAAGCTCGCATTCCAGCACATCCCAGCAAAGAGCGTGATCTTAAAAGAAGAAAAAATAATCTAGCTGGGATTTTACAAGTTCGCGCACGCAACTCAGTATTTTATTCTGGGAGTCGACAAGACTACTGCTGCTTTAAGGAAAGATGGTCTCCAAACGGTTTATGAAGTGATAGATCATATATAAATAGGTTGTTTGCTCTCAGTACAGATGCCATCATTACTAACTACTTTCAGGCTCTTTGAGAGCTAAATAATTTTGTAATGCATCATTGAACATTTAGTTGCTTCGATAGCAGATGGTTTCAGGGGTCCATCTGCTCACAGCAATGTTTTCAACAAGCCCCCTTCACCTTCACCAAAAGGTTCAGAAACATTAGAATATTCATTCCTCACCACAGGTGCCTTTCCCGGAGCCTCCCCATACACAGGCATAGTGGGTCGCACACTCAGAAAGACAGAGGTGGTTACTGAAATATGTGACTTAATCTATTGTGTGTAGATTACTTCTGTCAGCAAATGGAGACAGCAGCAATATTGGAGAATATGAAGCATCAGGTTACCTGGAACACAGCTTTCGTTTGTCAGGAGTAGATTTTTAATAGGCTTGCATCTAAATATAAAGAGTTGAATAAATTTTAATAGTATTAATAATTTTAAGTGTGCACACACAGTTAACTGTAACTGTGTGTGTACACAGAGTTATGAATACTATTAAAATTTATTCGACTCTTTATATCTAGATGCATTCACAGTTAAAAGATCAGTGCACAGCATAAATATCCACATACCAGCTGCTGAAGAGAGAAATCTGATGTAATGGAATACAAATATGTCAAATACATATTGCCTTGTAGTGCTTACAAGGGTAATAGCAAGGGAATAAGTTATTGCAATCTTTTTGTAAATTGCTTGTCCTGTATTAACTCCTATACAAGAAATGCAGTGGAAAAATTCAAGATTTGTTAACTCTTTGTTGCAAAAAAAATTACAAGTGTCACAGACTTTGTTTTGCAGAGAAAATAAACATATTTGATCTGTTGATTAATAGGAAATGCATTACTCCACCATCCATTTTTACTGCAGTTTTCTCAAACCAGACCAGAGGGCTCTCTGAGAAGGAGAACACTTCACAGAGGCTGATCTGTTGAACACCGTAGGGACACAGGAATTTGTATCTGAATTACTGCCTATGTAATTCCCAGGAGAGATAACTAGAGTTGCCTGATTTTAGCCTCTCGAAAGGCATATATAGATTTCCAGTTTCATAATGTGTTTGGAAATAGAAATAATTCCTGAATTACCTGAAAATAGCTTTGAGCATCGAGCATCCTCCTAAGAGGAGCTAAGAGAGGGGTTTTATTAAAGTGACAGAGATTATTAATTATTTGTAAGTAAGAAATAACGCTTCAAAGCTATGTGGTGTATACTGGGGAAGGAATTGATTCAAATTCTGTCCCAATATAAGGTTGATAACTTTTTTTTGCTTATAAATTGGGATAAAAATATTCAGTACCCACTTAGATGTTCCCTGCCTCAAAAGCATATAGTATTTTACGTATACAAAGGACCTAGCATAGCAGTGTGTTTCACTTCATCAGGTAGTTTGAACCTGTTTTGATAGCTGCTCAGGAGTTCCTTTACCTGTCTAAACCTAGAGAAACTAAACTTAAAGCAATATGATAGGTTTGATATAGCCTTTAGAAAAGCAGATGATAAGGGTTGTTCCTGTTGGTGTGTCTGAGCACTGCAATTCAAAAGTTTCTGAAAATGTACGTTGCAAGGTATCAGTGGTCACTGAACTAATGATATGCACTCCTAATCCTGAATATGTATTAGTGGAAGTGGCTACAAGCAAAGCACCAAGGCTGAAAACTTTAATTTCTTATCATTTAACATGGCTAACTTCATTCTGTGAATGAGAGTTGACCAGACACTCCCATCTGTAGTTAAGCCACACACTGCCTTCTGAGTATCAGCAGAAGACCCCTAGAAAGAGCCAAACAAAGGCAAGTCAGCTGTTTCTCCTTGGTTTAATACAGATCCAGAGTTCATTCTCTTGAAAGACTGACCCTGAATTTTGCAAGTAGTAGGATCATCTTGATGGCTCCACGCAGGTCAGGACCCACAGAAGTCTTTCTCTCTTCCACTTTTAAGTCAGTGAAGCAGGATAACAGGCCTTTTATAGGTTTATGGTCAGTGGGTCCTGGACAGATCTAGGATGGGTCCTTCTTTCTTCCCCATCAAAATTTGCTTATTTAACATCGAAAACTTGCATATTTTCTGGACAGGAAACAGAAGGGCTCATTCTGGAGGTCAGTGAAGGTGATGGGCTTTTGCGGAAGAGATGCAAATGGTAGTGTCTTTCTAATTATATAACCACTGGGTAATACAAAAAGTCATCACTATCTTTCCAGTTTTGCCAGTGGCCCATGTGGTTCTTTTATTTATCTCATCTCCTTTCATCCCTGCAGGCACTCTGCTAAGTGCTGAGTGAACTGTTACAACAAGTATTTGTTTTGCCTATCCTGAATTAGGGTGCAGAGTTGGGAAAAATTATATTTGATGGGAATTGTTTATTTCGGTTAGCTGGAAAATAAAGATTTTGTCTCCGTATGACCAGCCTTCTGACAAAAGGACCCACGTTACATGCATGCAGATACATCAGTCATTGAAATACTAGTTGACTCAACTGCAGTTTGGGATATAAATGCTTTTTTCTGCATAAATATACAGTTGTTTTTATTATTTTTATTTGCACAATAAATCACAGTTGTAAATGGCACTTTTAATAAATAATAAATAATTTTAATCTGTCATTTAAAACTATTTAGTGAAAGGAGTTGTTTTATTTGCACTGTAGTTGGGACTTAACGTCAATAAAAAAATTACTTTTCCTTAACTATAGCTAATAGACTGCAACTGCCAGAGTAAGTGTAATAAACAAACAACTGGAATCTGTGGGTAGATGTTGGTTACGATAAAAGTCCCAAACACTGCAAAAGCATTGAAATGGAAAAATTATATAAATGACCTTTCTGTAGTGTGCACTAGCAAAGGTGCTGTACAAACTACATGTGTATAAATCCACAAAATAATAAAAACAAACATTAATATGTTCAAAACTAGGATCAATGAGAAAGTCAGTTTTATGCTTGGAAGTCAGGGTTTGGATTTATACTGGGGTTGTCATTCCCATCTATACTGTCTACTTTGTTTTGTTATAGCATCACATTATTGCTTTAGATGGCTGTGTAAGGTTGTGACGCTGCAATCTTTCTCCAGTGAGTAGCATCACTGACATTTTATGGGACTGCTCATTTCACGAGACTGCTCTTTTTTGCAGCTGCGGAACCTCAGGCTTGATAGCAGATGATTATTTTTTGTCAGTTATCACATGTTCATCATAACAGGACTTCATGCTACAGTGGACAAAAATCTGACAGTTACCAAATAATTAGTTCTAATTACTCTATACCCATTAAGAGGGTCAGAAGACCATGATCTGATCAAATATTTGCCCTTTGCACCCTAAAAATATCGAGTCAAAAATCTGTTACAAAAATGCTCATAGTGCTTTCTCTAAACAATGTGAGTTGTCAGCTCTCTCAAATTCTCATGTGTTTGGTCTGGTGCACTGTCCAAGTAGACTCAAAGCTCCCTGAGAAAAGCAAAGCCTGTAGGTAGGCTGTTACACCTTCTTCTCTTATCTGCAAATGCATCTTACCAATTACTCTAAACTCAATTTTTTTCTTTTCTTCTGGTGCCCTTGGGGTGTTTTACATATATATATATACACAACTTTTCTGATGACTTTCAAGTAATTATGCTTGTGGATGAAGAACATACAGAGAAACTGCAATGGAAAAAAAAAGTGCAACGTATACATTTTCCTACAAATAAACTGAGAGCAACTTGATAAAAACATATCAGATAATAAAGAGGATCATATCTTATTCAAAAACCAATCCAGGCTATATTTTGAAGACAAGCTGGTAGTCTGTCCTGGCACTCCACGAACAAGTATTTCTTTTGAATTCAGATCATCCTATGACAAGTTCCTCTTCAACACTTTTCCCAGTTCAAACTGTGAGTAATTTTTCACTGGAAGAGAAAATAAATCTCATTCAAGTTACAGGACAGTCCAGAGCAATCTGAACTAAAATTGTGGCTGACAAGATGTGGGCCTAACAAAAATACAGGATAACTGGTGCTTTTTTTTGACATTGCAAGCCCCAAGTAACCCTTTTCTTCCCTCCCCTGTGGTCTCTTCCAGGATTACACATTTCTCAGACCTTGACTAGTCAAAGTCAAAGATCACTGGTCTCTTCCTCTTGATTCCTTTCAAGCAGAAGCCAAGAACAGCAACCAAAGTCGGGGAAAGAAAAAGGGATTAAAGCGTGCTAGTGTGATAAAGTTGGTGTAAATACTGCAGAGAACAATTAAGAGGGAGAAAGTTTAGTGCAAGTATGCAAAAAGCGAAGTGGTGGAAATCATAGCTCTTTTAAAACCATTCAGGAGAAAACATTTTTAAGTTTGCTGTTGTGATGGTAGAAGGATGGATTGGATAGTTTTTTAGGTCTTGAGTACCTCTTCAATTCTGTGTGTTGAACTTGCTGGTTTATAACTCAATCACATTTGATTGAGTTTCTGTGGATAGATCGTCAGATCAACTTGTTTTGGGAAGGAGCTTGGAAACTTGCAGCCTGAGTGGGGAAGGACTCTGAAAGAGAAAAGGCATCAATATTTGAATGTGGGAATTCCCTAGAATTAAGAGTCATTTAAATTGAAGGTCAGGTCAGATCATATTGGTTAGTATTTGCTTTATGATAAACTTCCATGCAATGTAGGATGAAATGATACCAAGTATACCCACACTACTGTATTCTCTGAGATTTACCAGTAATTTTCCTCTGGATTGGAACTTTATAAACGCACTGGAACAATCTGGCTGTTTCCAGGTCAGGAGAGAATAAATTGCTTTTTTCCCCTCTCTCCAGAGAAGGAATGAGAGCCAAAGCACTGACGTGATTCCAGATCCTGTTCTGCAAGCCTCACTGTACTAAGTCCTCCTAATGTTTTTTATCTTGCTGTGCAGAATGCTGGAGTAAGGGTGACATGGAAACCACAGTTAAAAAAAAATCAACTAGGATTTTTCAACTTTGACCCATGAGTTCTACTTCTGATGTTAATGCAACTCCAAATCACCCTCATGTTAATATGCTGCCATATTTATACAGTTAGATGACAACTGTTAGTGAACCTTAATACCCATTCAAAACATGAGACTAGTGATATTTTAATACCATGCTAGTGGTATTTTTTCATTCTCTTTTAATTACATTTTTCGTTTCAAGATTGGAACAAACCAATTGCAAATATAACAATTAAAGAAAATTTTGTCTGTTGTTTATAAAGATACTGAAGCTACTAAACAGCTGACTCATGACTGAATCTGAGAAAATTTAAGCATTTCATTAAATATGAAAGTCCATTCTGGAATAAATGTATGTTTTCTGAAAGCCACAGCTAGCTGGGTTTTCTTGCTTTCCTATTACCAATCATATTAGTCATTATGCCCATATTTTAGACCTTCATAAACACTTTGTTTGGTGAAAGCTAAAATATCTCACATTACTAAATTACATGGATAAGAGTATTTTCTTATAGGATACCTTTTAAAGGAGGTTAAAATTTAAACTACAAGTGTAATTGTGTAAGAATATGATATTAAAAAATAGCATACAGTACCTGAAATCATCAAAAATCAGCAGGTGAAGAGAGAAAGAGGGTTGGAGAATGGAAGGGAAATGCAATTATTTATATAAAGAGTGATTTATATGCACGTGCACGCACATACCTCCATATATTCATACATATCCGTACTTCTTTGATTAATTAGGCAACAAATTGATACATTTTAATTACAGAAACCTTACCACGAGGCTCTCCTCTATGCTTCAAATACAGAGCAAGATCTGTGTAATCGGTTCTTAAACTTTGAGCCTTCTGTACTCTTTTACTTTTAGTGCGTGTCCAATTAGCCTTGACTGATAGCTTTTCCCTTCTGTTGCCCTCATAATATTCCTGATCTTCTAACATTATTTCACAAGGAATTTGAGTCATTTTCTTTCCTGACCGCTATGCCTCTCCTGCTATCCCCGCTTACACATCTAACAGAATGCAGGATTCTTTCTCTCTTTCTGGCCCTTGGGCTTTTCTTTAAAAGAAAAAGCTAACAAACATGCCAAGTTGTATAAAAAAGTGGGATGTCAGTGTTCTGGTGAAATACAGACATTCCATGTCTGCCAATTTTTGAGGCAGTGTACAAGTTGGAAAACCACCAGTGGCAAGAGCAGTTGCCATTTTGAATTTCACTCTGACTCTCACAGTAACACTGTGGAAGAGACTATCAAGCTTTTAATTTCTATTTACAAATGCAGGTAGACAGTGGTCTGTGTTGGAATGATGCAAAGTATGCCAAATCAATTACTATGTTAAATTTGGGGCTGCACATCTTTTATCTATATAACAAAGGCTGTAAGTCCACACGATATCTTCTTTAAATGTTATAAATAAAACAAGAAAATATAACAAACGACCGAAGGAAAATTTCAGCCTTTTATCAATTTGTAAAGTTCTGAATTACAAGTGTAGAATTAAAAATGTACATCAAGCATGTGTTTCTTGAAATAGATTCCTGACATTGTAGTGTTTAAATTCAGTCTTGAGTTTATCAGTATGTTAAGCAATAGAGTTCAGTAAATAATAGAAAATTAAACTTCTCCATTATTCAAAGTTCAAAGAACTTTCTAATATTGTTGTGTGGATGACACTTACCACAACTTCAGATTTATAAGAATTTAGTTTGTTTCATAAGTGAGAATATTAATATCCTATTTTTAACTTATCTTTATGTTTTTATTCATGTGTGTGGCAAACTGGTTTTCCATATTTATCTAGATAAAATGCAAGTCCAGTGTGGCACATTAATCTCCTCTGGCACATTAATATCTTCAATCTCTGTACCTGAATTTTAAAATGTAAATTAAAATACTAAATTCAAAGTGACTTTAAATTTAGATGCAAATCTGCATACAGTTCTAAGAATGGCATTAAAATGAAGCTGCAGTTATGGGTCTGTAGACACAGAATTATAGGGTAATTCCCCTAAATATTTCATTAGTAGGTCACTTATGATTAAAAGATACTGAAACAGTCCATAAAAATAATTAATACAAATAAGAGTAAGTTTTGTTCTTCTTACAGGAAATTTGTGGTGGCAATAACTTCCAATTATGTACCATTTTTTTTTTTGTTAAGGTGCTGAAATCCTATTCTTGTTGACCATGGAGTTTTATTTACGGGGTGGAATGTATATCAACATTTAAAACCAAGCCACCAAAGAAGCAAAAACTAAAAACAACACTAGATAGTTATTTTAACTTGCTTAATTTATAATTTCAGCTTATAATTAGCTAATGACTGTCTCACATGCAGACTCACTTATTCAAGTCTCCCCTGCAATAAGTGAATACATATAATGTTTTTCATCTAAAGATTTGGCCATGTTACATAAAGTTTGGTTCCTGCATAAAACTATGAGATTCTTTACACAGAACTAGGTACAAGGGGGTTTGGGCTTTTTTGGGGGAGTTTTCAGTAATACCAGAAGGCTCCTTTGGACAATTACCAAGAAAACGTTCAACTTATAAAACGCAAGATTTCAGTGCAGTATATGAGGATATTTACTGTTCCTGTTGTTACGGAAGCTGATATTCTGGGGCATGGTTTCCCTCTGGTATCTTTAAATCATTTGTGCATATACAATTTTTCTGGAGAGGAAAATATTATACTGTATAAAAAAATACCTTGCAAAGCAGTATAAGTACACTGAAGTCTCAGATGAAGCTTTTGGGACTGACCAGTAATTTAGTCTGTATCAAGTTAATTATTTATAAGGACTATTATTTCTGAAATCCTAAATGTTTCTTACAGAGGTGTATACATTAATTTGATGTTTCATTTTAATATAAACTTGCCTGAAGACTTTTCAGTTTACAGACAGCATTTTTAACCCAGTTCAGAACACAGATTGTAAAGTTTATATTTTCTTCAAAAGAAACTGGGAGTTTTGTTTTTCTCCTTCTGGCTTATCCTGGGAAAGCCATCTCACCTTTGAGAAGCATCACAGTGAGCTAGAAGTGTTATAGCAACCCTGTAAGCTCCATCTTTAATTGATGCAGCTTGTTTGCATGCCTGATTATTTTCATCCTTTGGAGTTAAGGTGATTCCTAGTCTTGGCCATACGAAAGGCAGCTCGGTTATATATTTTAAGGAAGGGTGTTCAATTCCAGCTAAAAAAAAATAAAATAACATCATATTATTCTAGGGGGGAGGAAGATGGAAGAAGGTGGCTATTCAACCATTTAAACAAGTGCCCCGTGCTCATTTTGGAAAAAGACAGGGGCTCCCTGCACCCATTTCTGCTCCAATTTAATGAAGTTGTTAAAGTAGCAAGACTGACAGGTTAATTATCCTTTATAAAAGGGGGACAAATTGAACTGTGTCTTTCCATCATTTTTTGATATATCAAGAAGCTCCTGAGGTGCTCAGATGCCACTCCGGTGAATAGAACAACTAATCCACTCTGCTATTCTTTGCTGACCCTGGTCCCCCCATCGGGGCCTTGCAGTATATTGCAGTTGCTTTTTGTTTCACATTCAACAGATTCCACTTTATTATAAATTCAGAAGGATTTTTTTCCTCCATATGTTGGCTGACAGCTCCCCTGAAATAACTGATGGCTAAATTTAAACTCTGATGAAAATTAACCCGAGTGTTAAATGCAAACAGGAGCTGCTTGGAAAGAAAAGAGTTATCATGGTAAATGCCAAACAGTGGAAAATGTGTGTAAATTAATGGAGTCTCACTGGTGACAAGCTGTCAGGCAGTTTGATGGCTCTCGCTAGTGCTTCAATCCCACTGAAGTTGGCCAGAGGGCAACATGGACAAGTCCTGCTTTTCAAAAAGACCGCGGGACGCTTGACAGTAACGCTAACTAGATCATCTAAAGTTCATGGTCAAATAAGATATTTTTTTTTCCTTTTTGCAAAGCTTTGCACTAAACAGGGTTCATGCACAGCTGGGCTATGAATGAGATATCAAATCACAGTTTCTGTACGGCAGTCAAAACAGAATGAAGATTTACAGACCAGAGAGTTGTAGTGAAAGGAATTCAGAGGAAAGTTAATTTCAAATAGATATTAATATTGTTGTATTGCTAATTTGCTGAGCACAGAGCAATTCTTAAGGGGTTTCTGCATGAAACCTCCTTTTTCTAGATGTATTTTAGATGGTTTTAAAAGCAGATAATAATTTTAGTCTTTTATTGAATCCTTCAACTGAAAAATCCTTCAGCTTAAAGAAAAATTTTACATATATGGTAACATATACCTTATCATCTAATTTTTTTTTATTCTCAGTTATTTTATTTTTCAGCATTTGTATGCTGTATATTTCAGCAATTAATTAGTCTTCTGGTGTTTTCAGGAACAGAGTGGTCTTGCTATTTACTTCTATGGAAGTGGTATCTAATCCTGACAGTGCCTAAATACTCTTATAGTGTGTTCTGGCAAAATTTTAATATGAATTAAACTAGTTTAGTGGAAATTAAATTCAAACCATGATAATGGATCTGAGTGTGAACTAAGCTCTACAGAC